TTGTCGTACAGGGCGTCCATTTCCGTATTCTTGGCCTTAGCAACGGCCGCCTTAGCGAGTCGCTTGCAGCTCTTGTAGGCAGCGTAGTCTTCTGGGCTCCGTGTCTTTTGCCAGCGTTTGTATGCTTCCTTCTTCTGCTTGACGATCCTCTGGACTTCCTCGTTCCAGAACCAGGCTGCCTTGTCTCCTCTGATACCACCTCGCGTCTCTCCCAGGACCTCCCTTGCACACTGTAGGATGACCTCTGCTGCGTAGGTCCAGGTGTCCTGGACTGGCCCATGTGGGTCTGGGAGCCCAGCCTCCAGTATTCTTCGGCCGAGGCTATCCTTTTCTACCTTGCGCATTTTCCACCACCGAATTCTTCGCTCTGCTCTCACCCTTGTCTTCTTGGGGAGGTCTATGGCGATGTCTGCCAGGAGAGGCCTGTGCTGAGGGCCCAGCTCTTCCCCAGGCAGTACCTTGATATCCTTGACGGTTTTGAGAGACGATCTTCTGACCAGGACATGGTCGATTTCCGTTTGTCTCCCTCCACTGCTGTAGGTTACCTTTTGGGTCCTCCTTTTCGCGAAGAAGGTGCTGCAGATTGCTAAGTCGTGGGCTGTGGCTAGGTCAAGGATCCGTCCTCCCTCAGCGTTCTTTGTCCCTATTCCTTGACCTCCGTGCACCCTTTCTAGACCCCTTCTGTCCCTCCCAACATGGCCATTCAGATCTCCAGCTATGGTGAGATAGTCCTCTTCCGGAACCGATCTTATGGCCTCGTCCAGGGTCAGGTAGAACTCATCCTTTTCCGCTTCGGAGCAACCGGATTGTGGTGCGTACACGGTCAGTACTGTCCAGTACCCCTCCTTCGTGTCCATTCTCACTCCCATGATCCGGTCACTGATCCTGTTCACAGTGGAGACGCAGTCCTTGAGGGATTCTGCCACCGCTATGGCAACGCCATTCCGTTTGGTGTCTGCTCCATTGTAGAAGAGTTTGACGCCTTCTCCAATCTCGCGGGCCTTCGCACCCTTCCATCGCGTTTCCTGCAGGCATAGGACTTGGATATTCCTGCGTCTCATGAGGTCGGCAACCTCACGAGACTTCCCGGTAAGCGACCCCACGTTCAGGGTCCCAATTCGAACTAGCTTCTTTGGCCGAGGTCGTTCACCCCTCGGTAGCCCTCGCATACTGACCACAGAACTCGGGCGAGGGTTCTGCGCGCCACTTCCGGGTGACGTCCTAGCTTTTACACTGATTCTATTGCGACTTGTCATGGTTGTTGTGACGGGTTCCTCCATCAGCCGGCCTGTCAACCTGGGCCTGACGCTGGTATCGTCCCCATTTTTGCAATTTTTGCAAGGCAGGTTTGTGCCTCGGCAGGGATCGAACTCGTGGCTCAGAGTGAGATTATGAGTCTACACTCTTAACCACTCCCTGAACAAGAACAACTCCCTAAACAACCCCTGAACAAGAATAACCATCAGAATAAAACTTCGTTGGTAGGCCCAACAACCGCGCTCCAATGACGTTTTTCCAGCGAAAGCGGTCGCAGCCTTGCGATCGATAATAGCCAAGTATAGAACGATTTACTGCCGCCTGGTTATCCTTTTTTCATTTGGCTCCGCATTTTTTTGCATTTTTCATGTTTCGCTTTGTTGTGTCGTTCATGTTTTTATGATTTCCCCGTCACCATTCATTGAATGCACATCTGGGGCCTGACACGCTGACCTTGGGGCTATTTTTTCACCAATTTAGCTTATCAATGATCACCATTAGTCGCTGTTTCGATTGTGTTCCTTGTTACAAGTTGCATGTCATACATGGTTGTCGAACGACGAGTTTTATTTTGAATCCTAAGACAAAATTGTAGGTAATGCGAGGCTGTTGTTCAGCCTCATATTGCATGAGGCTGAAACAGCCTATTATTGCCTGGATTTCGTGCCGAATCTTGGAAATTTACAAGAGTTTACAGTCTACTTACGTCTTTTCTTTACATTTTAACTTAGGCGGAGTATGGAGGAATGAGTCTGTCCCACGGTCCTGAGTCCTCATCCCCGCGCATGTTCGGATAGGGAAATCGCTACGCTGGGGGCCTGCAGAGCAGAGCATTCCAAGGGGACGCCCCTCGTAGGTGAGTGTGCGTTTTGTCTCAAAGGTACGGTCCGCTTGAGGTATAGAAGTTGTAAATATGGCATCGGCAGGCTCGCGACGAACACCCGTGTACCGGTTTTGCGGCAAAAAATTGTGAGGGACGCCATAGTGCAATATAGGTTCAGTGACACCTTTTCTCCAGTGACTCCGCCTTCAGGGCCCTCCCTGTAGAGAAAAACGAAGTGCAGGACGAAAAAGCATGAAAATCGTCACTTGTACGGTCGTAGAGTTCTTATCGGGGAATCAGCTGTGCGGATGAGGGCGTAGTGTTGGAGATGGAGTTAATTGGGCACGTACAAACTGGGATCGAAATGGGGTTCTATTTAGGGCAGTTGGCATGTTTTTTTGCTTTTTTCTTCACTATCGAGTTACTCAGCACCTTGTCGTCTGTATGCAAACCCCTAATCCACTATCTGTGATGGCGAATGATCGCGAACTTTGCCTTTATACTGAACGTGGCGGTGGCTGCGCTTTTGATGGGATGTTTTCATTTTGAGACGATTGTAGCCATGTCTTCGTCCAACACTGAACAAGATGACATTTTCCTCAAAGTGAATTATAGCACAAGTTACCCACTCTATGCCATGCACAAATGCTACGCCTACTCCGTCTCGGGGAAAGGGAGGCACTTACGATGACGCAACTCTTACGGAGGGAGTGTTTCTGAATGCTCAATTCACGAACAATCATCACTATATTTATTGTGCAGTCTTTAAGAGGTGGTGTATAAGCTCTATATAAGCGAAAACGCCAAAACCCTTGTCAGTGTTCGCAGGAAAGCTGGGAAATTCATTCGAAAGACACCGTAAAATCTATGACAATATCACTGAATATCTAAAAGCTAAAGGACGCTGTCGAAATATAGCTGCTCAGATGGTTTTGATGCTTCACGTCACGACCGTTGACTATGACCACCATTCGCTCCCTAAAATATCGAGTAATTTGTTGTAGTAATAATCAGCAGTGCTATTTGCTGCAAAATATTGCAATGAAATCCTTACAACTTCTTGCGCCCTCAATCTTCTGAGAAACTGCTTCCCAGGAGGAGTAGAGGGTGACGACCGCGCACTGCTATGTGGTGAAGGAATTGGTTGGAGAGTCAGGCTTTTTGAATGTTTTCGTTTTTTTCCACCCGAAGCCTGTTAATGAATACACATTTCATGAGGACATCAGAAAAGTAGTGAAAGGCTCAAAATGCCTGCCTGCCCAACCAAATCTCCATTTTTGGCGTTCATAAAGCCCCTGTTCCGGGATTAGCAATGCCCATTGAACTGAGAAAGGACCAGAAGAACAGAGGTCGCGAAATTCCGAGCGAATGTTAAAATCTGTGGGTGTCCGAAAGTCCTACTCTTTGCCTTCCAATCTGTTCATCTTGCTTGACCTCACCATGTAATGGAAGAGCTGGTTGGGCCGGTGCGAATTTCAAAGTAAAAGGCAAACAGATTTCTGTACATTTCTGCGTCACTGCTAGCACATGCTAAAGGCATAAGGCAAGAGAAAAGGTAGAGAAGCATCAAGAAAGGGAATCGTTCTGCTACTACTTCCCTACCTACTTCGCGCTCAGCTAATTCGTAGGATTCCTCTCTTGCCCAATAGTCCGGTAAGTGTCCAGAAAGATTTTCCTGATTTGCGGCTCCACAATGTGCGACGAGGGCGTTGCGGTCATTATAAGCTGCAGTTGTATACTGTGTATTGTACGGTGTACCGTATATAATGCATCGTTGCTACTATTTTGGGAAAACAAAATTTTGGATCTTAATGCCCTAAATAATGATGGTGCCTACCCCGCTGAGGACAGGGCAGAAATAACTACAATCCAGTTTTTCAGAAGCTCTATTATATGTGGGGTACCACTAAATATGCGCTCTCTGAAAATTTTTTGATTCCCGTGGGTAAAGGGCCAATAATGACTACTGTGACCCATGAAAAGATATAAAGGCTGAAGATACGATATATCCCCTAGGCATTTAAGATGAGCATCCTATCAGCGAAGAATTCTGCGCTCCTAAGGAAGCCTTGTATGATGTCTTTTCAAACGAAAAGTGGTCCTTGAGAATCCTAGCAAGACTTGGCATACAGATCCGCAGTCCCTCCAACAACGACACGCCCTACAAATGGCCGCACCAGCAATTGATCTGCTTTTTCCCATTCTCCAGAGTTCTTTCTGAAGAAGTATGTCTAACTTGTGAGGCAAACAAATATTTCTTTAGGCAGAGTGCAAAGTTCGCTTGCAAGCAGTGCCCGTTTCAGAGTCAATCACTTCTTTCACTTTTTGGCTTTTTTTTCCTTTGATTCCCGTGTATTTCCAACAACCGCTTCGTGAAAATGTCAGTAGTGCGCCCTTCCTATTAGCGATCCCTAATGATGTTGCCGTAAAGTTTGCTACTACTCAAAACAGCGTGTTTTCTTATGTCGTGTGCAGTCGCCGTAATTTTTCACATTGTTCCTTGACCACCGGTGATTTTTCTCAAGCATAGACTCGTACACACTTAATAACTGGAGCGACGAGCCAATCATCTCGTGTTCAGGCAGACAGTTTGACATTATGCTACTCTTTCGTACATCGTCTCTCTGTTCCTGAAACGTGATGTTCCGTTACGAGTGTTTCAGGCCGCTTTGTCCCGCTTTTGCGTTACTGTCGTATTAAAGACTGCCTCTGCTCCTGTTTCTGCAGAGAAACAAATTATCGTGCCCACTGCCTTTAAACCAGGCCCCTAGACATCATCTCGTGTTCAGGCAGACATTTTCATTAAGACACTATGCTACTCTTTCGTACATCACAGTCTCTCTGTTCCTAAAACGCTATGTTCCGTGAACAAGTTTTTTTCTTTGAGGCATCATATTTTCAGCATGCATGAAACTCTCGCTCAAGCTATTATGGGTAAACCACAAATGAAGCCCTTTTGTTTCAATGCCGCCTTCACAGGAGCTGAAACTTTGATTTCTGTGGCTACTATAATCTACACTGAAGCTCCAATTTGAAAATGATAGAAACAGTACCCCTTTTAAAGTGTAAGCAGTTTGCTTCAACCAATCACTCGCACAGATCGCCTTGTACGTAGGTCGTGACGGTGGATACGGATGTAGGATTTCGTAGATCAACGTCTTCACTTGTACACTGAGCTCTATCTTCGGGAACCTGCACAAGTGGTATTTTGTGAATGATGTTTTATTTTCCAGAGGGTATGGAAAAACTGATTAGCCGAGAAAGAAGTGTTCTTCTATCAGCTCTGTCGTGGCAGGTGGCTGTGGCCCCATGCGCACCGCGCGCCTGGGTCCGCCGCGCTCTATGGCCAAGCGCGCGCCGCCCGCCGGTCAACAGACCACGCACGCAGCCGCAGCCTCGACTCTCCTCTTCCATAGGAAGGAAAAAAATGTCCATCACCCGTGGAGCAGAACAGTTGGAATAAGCGCCGTCAAAGATGATGCCTAGCTGCCCTCGGTAGCCGACACAGAATCGCTTACCGCCTTACCGCTGATCTCACCATTCGATGGATGGATGGATAATAGTCTTTTCACAACTGCAGGAAAGCAGGAATTAAGTTGTCAGAGCGACTGGAGGGCGCGGTTGATAGGTATGAGTGTACTCTACTCTGTGCACAGTGTAGAGGGCACATAGGGGAGCACCAGGGCAGAGGCCCGACGGAGGCGCTGTAAGCTTTAGGTGTTTCGCCATGTGTTGGGGTGCGTAAGACTGTCAGGAAATCTCTGGTGCTGGCGAGCTGGGCTAGAAGTAGAACAGCCGCTGGGGTCGTTCCTCGGGAAGCAAAAGCCATACTGGGAAGAACCAGTACGGTCCCTGCGAACGACTTTAGGATCACGTGGGCCTGCAGTGGGACTCGCGAAAGCTCCCAACCACCTCGGGACGCTTCGTGCTGTCGGAGTTTCGAGAGTGACTGTCTCCCAAACATGAAAAGCTCATTTAGCGAAAACAAGTACGGTCCAAGGTTGCACGTCAATGTTCGGCTGTGGTAAAGCTACAGGCATTGTGCCAATACGGAATATTCGGGGAATCTCGAACTGTACTCACCGGATCCTATGGCCTAGTTGCCTCTCAACCATTTTCTGTGGATTTCGGTCATCGTACGGCATCACTCCTGTCACCATTACATACAAAACTACACCGGCACTCCAGATGTCAACCTAAAATTGGTCGAAGAAGAAGCCTGATGTTGGAAGCATATCGAAAAGTTCTGTGTTGTGAACGCACCGTCTGACCAGTGTACGCGATTGCTCTCAGAATCTCCGGTGCTACATAAGCTCTGCTGCCACAGAAAGTGTTTGCCTTCTCGTGTGGTTTCAAGTAACGAGCAAAACCAAAGTCGCCTAACTTTACATTCTCATGCCGATCAAGAAGCACATTCTCGCATTTCAAATCGCGATGAACGATGTCACATTTTTGCAGGTACTGAAACTGGTAATAGTTTTTTTTTCTGAGGTGACAGTTGCATAAGAATATTTCAGATGCAGTATGCAACACTTTTAAGCACGATTACTTATTCCTAGCTGGGGTAACTGACAGAAAGATATTCTTCGTCATATAGTATGGTCTTGCATTAGATGCATGCCCCTTTTTAGTGAAAGGGATAAAGGATAATCTCATCGCGATCAATCAACCCTTTTTGGGATGCGACATGCAGTCTTCTTCCGTTCATAACCGTAGTGCCTTGCATGGGATGTGGCCTATATAGTGACTTTCTGAGCCAGCCGATGAGCAAGTCATCTTACCCTCTCACGCGATGCCAAACTTACCATCTCCGAGAGGTAGAAGGCTTGGTCGTCCTAGGCAAGAGCCAATTACTTGCTCTCCGGACCGTGCGAATGAAAAGCGGGCCACTTGTCACCACACATCCTCCGCCTCATTTATAATGGCGCAATTAATGCGACCCTCTGGCATTTCCCTTTGCACTGAAGACAAACCCGCCATCAAGCGATTTGGGTGCCTTACTCTCCTAATTAACGCAGGGCACAGTCTCAGAGTTGTCCGACTCTCAGCGACTCATAAGGACATTGCGGCTGCCGTAATTTGACGCACGCAGAGGTTGCCTCAGCCACTCTGGGATCTCCAAGCGAATCTGTCTATAGTACAGATGGCAGTCATTTCATGCGGGAAACTGTGGTCAACTCGTTTTTCAACCCTCTTTCTTACGCGGGATGTGAGGTCCTCTGCAAGAGGTCAGAAGCTTCTTTCCCATGTTGGGGTCTTTCTGTCTGTTCTTGATGTTGAATGGCATGCAAGATTGGATGATGCGTAGAAATTATACGGAGCTTTGAGCTGCATGGAGGGCTCCATTTGCCAATAGGTCGAAAAACGCGTACAATCTTCTGAAGAGGGCATCCATCTCATCTGTTCACGATGATTTTCTCTTAGTTTCTCCTTAACCGGAACGTCACTTACTGTGCAATTCACGACTGTATATCTATAGTATTCTATCGCAAAATTTGTCTTCAAAACGTGGAAACTAACGATAAGTGCTTCGATAAGCTGACGGAAGAGCAGCTTGGCATCTGATTCTGGGACTCTTTTCAATTTTTTTATTTTCTGGAGCAAATCACCACCATCGCAGTATTCCGTTACAAAGATTGTATAGTGACTGATTTCGACAACCTGAAATCTTACTTATTATGGTCCGATATGTACCATTTTCACGTTAATTCACAACTGTTCAAACCAAATTCAAGACTTGGTCGAACATGCCACACTAGGCACTGCTGCAGGCCCGCCCCGAAGCCGCGCTCACATTTTAATGTGGACATGATTTTTAAAGCTTTGTTTTATGATTCCGTTGGGTGGCTTTTTCACAGGCACTACATCTAACTGAAGAGGGCTGTACATCGACACATTATCGCGACTCTACCCTGTTCTGAAAAAAGTTGTCGCAAACTTCAAATTGCGACCAGTGTTTACGCACCGAACATCAGGCTTGGCCTCCTCAGCCACACCCACTTTGCGTATTTTTGCGAAGCTTTGATCTTTCCTCAAAATTTTTATACTTTGGGATGCTACGGACTGCCCTGTCCACCATGAGAAGCTCCGCCACCTGGTAGTCGCCCCGCCCAGTTTCGGAAAATGGCACGATCAGTAAGCCAATATCTCAAATAGTATGTCAGAGTCTCGCTCTTCACTCAGAACGAACTTGAAAACCATAATAAAATAGGATTTACTAAATAGAGCACAGCTTTTGGTAAAAGCAGTGAAAACGAGTGCGCTGTTCGACACATCTCCTGTTTGAAAGTTATATCAACACCTGATAGACTCTTAGAACGCATTCGTGCTTTAAATTCTGTACCAGTGCGACTTCTCTTGGCAAAAATCTTCGAACGTACTCTGACTGTACCCTGAAGAGAGAAATTGTTAAGATCTGAACAAGCGCTAGTATCATCGTAACCATTGCTTATTTCATTGACTATATCATATTACGAGCACACGTCCAGCTGCCACGGCAGCAGCTCGTGCAATGGCTCGGAGTGTACCGAGTGGTTGTCTTATATATGCTGTTATCACAATCAAAACATTGGATTGATACATCTGCACCGATCGAATCCCGGTTTGTCGGTCGTTTTCTCCTTTCACTAACCTGTTTAATCCTGTGAAGCACTTTGCGGACGGACAGACATACAAACCGACATACATACATACCGACAAACCGACACACAAAGTTTCTGCTTTATAGAATGTACTGTAAAAGTTTTTCTGGAGCACACTACTGCGCTCCTAACGTGATAAAGCAATGCAAAATGATTTACTACAGTAAATCACGGCTAATGCCAAATTCTTTTGCTTTCCCATGTAACTTTCGTTGGTTTTTTCGTGATTCTGCTGCGGATTTCTAAAGTGCACAACGCTCAGCGTGAGATGCCTTTTATAGTTCATTCATTATTTTTTTATTTTTATATTTCATTCATTATTATTCATGACTGTATCGTTGAGTCTTTCTCTCATCCAAAATGCCGCTATCACCCTACCTTTACCGCGCAATATCATACATGTGGTCCCACCCTCCAATAAGTTTCTAACAGAATCAAGTCATTTTTTGTCTTTCTGTCTTTTTTGATTGCCGATTTTTCCGTTTCACCCTTCTTCCTACTCTCCACCCCGCTCGACATGCACTACTGCAGTAACTTCATTATACTCTAAGCCTACAGTACAATGCTAGCTGTAAAGTTATGAAAAATATATAGGCTCTAATCTATTCTTATCAATAGCTTTAACCGCTTGCCACCCGTCACCAATGTCCATATCACCAAATCTGTGCGATTTGGTAGTGTGGAAGATGTACAATCTTGAACTTGAAAAAAGTTGAGCCGCTTCTCAGCCTATAGCAGTGGCTATCCCTCTATGTCACTCATCCGTTACTATGTAGTGGTATCCGTTACTTCCCTATTTCACTTGTTGGAACCAACTTTCTACCGATACTGTGTTGGGCGCTGTTCAGACGCTGCAGCGCTTGACTTTCAACTCCCCCTATCATACCTCAAAAATTCTTAACGCGCCCTGCCACCGATCGATGATATTCTTGTCCTATAGCTTACATCGTGTCTTGGAACCAACGGTCGCACCGTTATTGGGACCGGCGCTATGAATTTGGTGACATTCCCTTTATAGGGCCCCTTATCAGCCCTTGCCAATCGTTATCACTTCCTGTCACCCATCATCCGGTTTT